AGTGTAGGGTGTGGTGTGTCTTGTTTGTTGGTTACAGCAGTCTTTGGGTTTGGATTCCAAGGACAATGAAGACTCAGACAACAAAGACAATGAATTGTTGCTGTCGTCATCACTCTCGCTGTCCAATGCGTGCACAAGGTTCCTCTGCCTGTGCTTGTGTTCTGAGATCCGCTGGCTGCGATCCTTGACCATCTTGCACGTCATGTGGTAGGCGCCGCCGCCCAGGACCAACATGCCGGCCAGCTTGAGGTATGGATTCATCTGGCCGCTGTTGCGCAAATCATTGAAGCGCTCCCAAATCTTGAGCAGCACAGCGTCATAGTCGCCAATGTTGGTCATCACATTGGACAACCAGTTGTTGAGTTCAGCCTTGATGGGGCTGAGGCTGTTGAGATACTTGATCACACTGACGCTGAAGATGAGCAACTTGTGTGATGTGTTGAGGCTGCGTGTCACACTGCCCACCTTCTCCATGGAGTTGGCGTACGCGTTCATCTGGTCGACGTCGGATGTGAGATTGAACTTTTGATTGAACCAATGGCCCCTGCGCTCCAGCATGCAGATGCGCACGTGGGCGTTCACGCGCCGCTTGTACTTGGACATGGTGGTGGCATCGGTGGGCTTGGGCGCGAAGGCACCAGTGACGTTGCCGGCGGCCAGGGCCGCGACGCCAGTCACCAGCGCGGGTATGGGATTCGTGGGTTCTTCCTCCTCTTCTTGTTCCTCAGGCTCTGCTGCCTCCTCTTCCTCTTCCTCCTCCTCCTGTTCTTTGGCTTCAACCTCCTGTCTGGCATCATGGAGCTGATCTGCGAGACTGGGACCGTAGAGCATACCAGCCGTACAAAGCGTAGGATCGACGACGCGCTTCACATGTGGCGCGGGTTCCTCTTCCTCTTCTTCCTCTGGCTGCTCTTCCTCTTCGGCCTCCTCTTCCTCTTCTTCTTCTTCCTCCTCCTCATCATTGCATTGGATCGGCTCACATGCCGATTGTGAGATAGGGTTGATGCGGGAATCATGGTGTTGCAGAGGGTAGCTCAGCACCGCATCCGGCTTCCTGACCAAGGCGCCGAACGGATTGCCTTTTTGCTCCTCCTCCTGCTCTTCAGCGGCAGCGGGCGATCCCTGGGACTGTCTGCGCAGGGCCGTCTTGTGATCGTGCACGCGGTCGGGATTGGCGATCTTGTAGAGCTCCATGCTCTTGCTGAGCGGGTTCTTCTTGATAATCTCATTCAGGTCGCAGTCGTCCGGCAAGGGAGCCGGCGGCACGAACTCGTTGGGCTTGCGCTTGAGCGATGGCGCCAGAGGAATCGGCTTTGGCGGAGGCGGTGCGGGCTTGCGCTTCGGCGGCGCCGCCGGCTTGGGAGGCGAAGGCGGCGGTGTCGCCACCACCTTGGTCACGGCTTTTTTCGTCGGCGGCTTGGGTTTCGGCTTGGGGGGCGATGGCGGAGGCGTGGTAGGCTTGCGCCGGCGCGGTGGCGTCGGCTCCTTGCGTGGCGTGGGAGGAGGCTGCAGGCGATCCGCGAGCCGGTCGCGTAGGGGCTTGGGCGGAGGTGCCGCCGTCGTGATGGTCGCCTGCGGTTCCCCGAGCTGGATCCCCACGACCTCTTGCGCATGCGGATCGTTGTCCTGGTCCTCCTCGTTGAAAACCAGCACCCCTTCGTCGTGTTCGAACGATTCGGCCGCGGCGAGCTGGGCCACGACGCCGTCATCGCGCGCCAGCTCGGGCTCCACGTGCACGTCATCGTTCCAATTCAGTGATGCGTTGTTGTTGATAAACTGATCAAACGCCGGATGCTGCGACATGATGTCATCGGCTTTGGACATTGCGAGGAAAAGATTGGATGGACGTGCGGGCCTCCGATCACCGATGCAGTCGTGGGTCGTGGATCGGTTTATTGCGACGCGTGTGTTAGGTGGGACGTGACAAAACCGCCACGCACCCGGCCGCGCGCAGCACGCGGGCGCGCAACGGCTCGGCTGTGCGTGCCGCGAGTGCGCGCGCCTCCAGGGCAGCTCGCTCAACTGGAAGCTGCCGCGGCCGATGTACGTGATGGGCCGAAAGTGAGAGCCCTCGTCGTACGCCAGCATGACATAGGTGCACGCTGCGTCGTCGCCATCGTCATCATCGCCGAATGCTGTGGTGAGGATGCGGGGCAACCCGTCGGTGAAACGCGGATCCTCGTTGGTGGTGCTCACCAACAGACACTTGATGTCGAGGATGCGTTCCAAGCGCTCGATGTCGTCGCCGTCGCCCCAATTGTTGGGCTGCGGTGGCAACGCGGCCGTTGTGTCAACGCCGAGCGCGACATGCGGCGCAGGCGCTCGGTCAAGCCCAGCGCGCCCGTGAGCGAATAAGAGAGCGAGTGAAAGAGGCAGTCGCCATCGCCGGGCACCTCGACCACGGCGAAATTGTGGGGGTCGCCGTTGGCCGCGAAGAACGCGGGAGCATTTTGGTTTCCTGACATTTCGAGACTTTTAAAAGATTTTTTAAATAGGAAAAGGAGGAGAATATATGATCATATACTTGATCACTTTACACCAATCATAATTGAAAAAATTGATTTTACAAAAAAAAGACAAATCGCATGCGATTGATTGGCTGTTGCTGTGAGCTTAGGTGGAAGACTTCTTGCGGGCAGCTGGACGAGGGAGAGGTAGGCGAAGGAGACGCAGGAGGAAGAGAGCGATGAGGCACACGGGCCGATCCACAGGTGGTAGCGGTCGAAGTCGAGCCGTCGGATGATCTCCGAGCCCTCGGTATAGGGGCACACGCCGTTCACGAAGCTCGCTCTCGCGGCAGTGGTAGTCGACCCCGTCGAACTCGTTGATCGCCAGCGGCATGAAGGCGTAGAAGAAGGGCGAGATGTAGAGCAGCCAGTAGAAGTACTTGGGGATGTCGCTCACCACCAGGAACAGGCCGCCCACCAGCATGTGCGGGATCACCGTAACCGGAAACAGCGCCAGCGCGGCTCTGAGTGTGCGGATATTTAGATATAAAGGTCAGCCAATCGGGTGAGACGATATGTATGTATGTATGTATGCGGGGCACGTACGGAAGGTCGGTGCTCACGCTCACGAGGAGGCCAAGCGATTGCGCGATGTTGGCCACGATGATGGTGATGCCCAGGCAGATGAAGTAGGCGTCGGCTTCGTCCTTGAGCCCGACCATCCAGTAGGTGATCGTGGTGACGATGCAAGGGTAGATGATCTGGAAAGGAAGGTCGGCGGAGGACTTGGCCAGGTAGTAGGCCGTCACGCCGTACATTCCATTCGCATACTCCCGCAGGAATGTCGGTCGCTCGGTCGGAACTATATAACAACACGTAAATGTAGAGATGGTCAACGTTACATATCACCCAAAGCCGTATGTCAACACGAATCCGACAAGGTGGGTAGGAGGCACATACAGAGATAGAGGACGGCGTTGCCGGTCATGAACATGGCCTGAGTAATGAGCAAGTAGAGAACGCCCATTCGATTTTGAATGTCTGTCAGGTTCACCACAATCCCACGATGAGTATTGATTGGAAAGGGCTGTAGGGGCGGGGGGGGGGCGAGTACCGCTCTGGCTGTGACCCATCCGGAGGAAGAGGAGGCCGGTGATCAGGGCAATCACCAGGTTGATGACCAGCCGTTGGGTGGTCGTGCCTGGGTCTCGAATGTACTGCTTCCAGGACCGGCTCAGCAGAAGCCAGACCTGCGTGGGGAAGCGCGGCGCGGCCTTCTTCAACTTGGGCAGCTTCTCGTTCTTGAATTCAACCGTGACTCTGCCATCATCGCCATCGTCTTCCTTGCCGTAGCTGACGCTGCTCGCGGCGGCCGACCGGCGCAGGGTCATCGTGTGCCCGTCGATCGGGAGGATGTTGTTGTGCTCCTGGTGGTAGCCATCGAGGCGCATGATCCGCGCCACGTACTTCTCCTCGGGGAGGTCCTCTGAGCGCGAAATCAGCCGCATGTAGAAATCGGAGGGGTTGGTGAACTGGGGACAAGGGTATCCCTGTTGTTGTTGTTGTACATTACATTACAACATGTTGTGACCCCCTTTGTTGGTTAGATAAGAATATATAAATAAATAAATATAGCCAATGGGGAGGGGGGATTGAACCTGCTTGGCAAAGTAGGAGGTGAGCTGGGGCACGGGTCCGCTGTAGACCAGCGAACCGTTGGCCAGCCAGAAGACGTCGTCAAACAGGCTGAAGATCTCCGATGACGGCTGGTGAATCGTGCAGACGACCTAGACCAATGGCATGAGCAATCACATGCAAAGCACGACGCACACGACATACGACACACACACACACGCACACACACACACACACAGGCCAAGGGAGAGGGCGAGCATGTACGGTGCGGCCCTGGCGCGCGAGGTTTCGAAGGATGGTGACCACCTGCTCGGCCATGGTGCTGTCGAGGCCCGACGTGGGCTCGTCGAGGAAGAGCAGCCGAGGGTTGACCAGCAGCTCGAGCCCGATGGACACCCGCCGGCGCTCGCCTCCCGATATGCCGCGGGTCACGCCCGGTACGCCCACCCGCGTGTCACAGCACTTGATCAGGTTGAGCTGCCGCATGACCTTCTCCACGCGCGCCAGCTTGGCCTCCTTGGTCATGGTCCGCGGCAGCCGCAGCAGAGCCGAGTACGTAAGCAGCTCCCTGTGATGGTGATGATGATGATGATGATGACGAGCCAACCCCACAACACAGTCACATCATGAGCCGTGTGTCACATAAGAGGAGTTGAACAGTCGCTGTTATACCTGGGGGTGAGGTTACCGAGGAGTGTGTCCTCCTGCATGACGTAGGCGCTCACCTGCTTGAACTTGTTGCGGCTCAGTTTGTGTCCGTTGACGAGAATGTCGCCTTCGTGGCGGCCGTCCCTGGTGCGCCCGCTCAGCAGGTTGAGGAACGACGTCTTGCCCGCGCCTGCGTGCGGGCGTGTGTGCGCACACAACCAACAATCACACACACCACACATACATTCAGTGGTTGGCCCGCCACGATCCAAAACGTCCCCACAGCGGGCGCACCGGAGGGTCCCATGATGGCGACGAGTCGGCCGGGCAGGAAGTGGCCGGACATGGGCTGCAGGATGTGCTTGATCTCGTGGGTCCACAGCTTCTTCTCGCGCCTCGGCACAGCTTGGCGGGCAGGCCACGGAGCCCGTCGGCGAGCGGACCCTTCGAGATCTTGACCGAGAAGCTGATGTTGTGGAACGACATACAGACGGGCGGCACCCGGAGGTCCTCCTCGTCGTCAAGATTATCGTGATCGGCGTCTGCGCTGTGGCCAGACTCAAGGTCCAGCTCGTCCCCGCGGTGCTGGCTGTCATCATCTTCTCTTTCCCTGTCGTCTTCTCTCTCTCCTTCGCTCTTGGAGCTCGTCATCGGTTCGAGCTCGATGTCTCGCCCGCCCGCGATGTAGTGCTCGTCTTCGCCGCCTTGCATGAGAGTTGAGTAGAAGAAGTTGGTATGGTTTGAATCGAATCACCATGGATGGCCAAGCGTAAATAAAGAAAGCGACGTCACATTTCCCGGGGTTGATAGCAAGAAGAAGGTTGTGCAACGCAACCAGGAAATTGTCCCTGAAAAAGATTCAATTGGTCCATCAAACTCCGGACGAAAATAATCCATCCATTGGTCCATCTCGAGAAGCGGTTTTTTCCTATTGGCAAAGCAAAACTTCCGGACGGGCACATATGTCGCTTTTTGGACATAAGTGCCCGGATTGGTGATCGCCCCGCGCCTTTGGCAACAAGATCGTCACGGCGATATACGGCTGTGCTCGCCGGGGAACGGTGCGGGTACCTCACGAGGAACTCGCCGGGTCGGCCAGCACCCACACGACATGAATCCCGACGACAAAGACACCACGACAACGCTCGACTGGGACAGAGCGCTGCGCGTGGTCAAGGAGACGCTGCCGCTCATGCGCTGTTCCAAGTCGATCGTGGATCGCAAGATTGCCACGGCCCGTGTGCTCGCCCGTTACAATATCGACGCCGTGTACGCCGTAGAAGCCATGGAGATATTCAAGCAGCGCCAGGTCGGCTGCGTCTGACGCCGAATTCGACGCCTTTGCCCACGAGATAGTGGGCGAGTGGAAAGGAAAGGCGGACGCACCAAAGGCCGAGATCGACAGCGCCATTTGACCGAGTCGTCCCCCACATCCCCCCGTCATTGTGTTTGGGCGTGCGAAAAGTTAGTGGCAGATCTAGATATGGCATTTCAACACAACTTTTTTGTCGCTGCAACACGTTTGCGTGGGTTGGCGGTCGGTGTTCGCTTGGGTTTTGCGATCGCCTTCGATAGCTCCCCGATCTTCTGCGGTCGCTGCTTCTTGATGGCATAGGGCACCGCTCTGGGGGCTCGCTTTTTCGTGATACGGTTGGCGCACATGTAGCCGTCGCCGGTGCGCATGTGCTGCGCCGTCGGATCGTACGCCCCGCACTCGGGGCAGTTGACCTGTTGGCGCCTTTTGTTCTTTCGTCTCTCGGATTCGGCCAGGATCCAGGCGGCGTCTTCGTGAGTGAATTCGGTGCGTCCCCGCAGCGGCGGATCGCACGGGAGCAACCGCGCGGGTTCGTTGGTCTCGGTGTCGTAGACGGCAAAGTGTCGCGATCGCGGCACCCATCGCTCGCCCCCTCGCGCCCGCACGACGACGCCGATGTTGCGCGTCTCCATCCACCATCGCGAGATCCAGAGCATCTCGCCAAAGCTGTGCGGCAGCCGCAGGCGCTTCAGTCCAGCGTGCGCAAAGTGGTTGGCGTGATTGAGCGTGATGCTGGTGATGACCAGCGTCGCAAATTCACTGCGATCAGCCCAGTAGTGGGCCAGCAGGCGCTTGTTGCGTGGGGTGAGCTCGCCCAGTCGGAGCATGGCGCGCTTGAGGTGCGGCCACACAGCATCAAGGAAGGCGTCGTGTATCTGCATGTCAAGCAGTTCACAACATCCAGCGTCAGTGTCGCTCTTGACCCGCAGAAATTCCTCAAGCCAGGGCCACATGGCCTGGATGAGGCTGGCATCGTAGCGGTGGTCGCCCCATTCCAGTACGGCACGTGCGTAGACGCCGAGCTCATCGGGGAGCGCATGCCACAGGCGTATGGCGCATTCCATGCTAATGAGCTCAACAAGGCATATGAGTGATTGGGGCTTAATTCCTGCCAGGGCACAATCCCACATGTTCATTTCCATTTGTCAGCCAAAGTTAGCTCTCTCACACGCACAAATATGTGTGCTGCTCAGATCCAGTCCAAGCATCCAATCGCCGCATTGCATTCGCCAATCGTTGGTTGCGCATGGACTTTATTGTGTTGCATACACATATATAATGGCCCTGCCTACACATGACCAGGTGCGCCAAAGCTCTCATGCGACAATACCAGATCATGTCCAAGGAGATAGAACGATCCAAGCTCGCCAGAAAACCCGGTGTCGACATCAGCATCCCCTTTCCCGAGGTGCTGGACTCTCTGATCGACAGCAGGTTCACGGTCAATCCGCTTCCGTGTGGTCTGTCATGGCACGTTTCCTGGCTCGGCCCAACAGCCAGCAATGACAAAGGCAACGACAACAGCTTGGAAGCAGCGTGCGCGTGCTGTAATAGTTCCCTTGACTCGGACCCCGCCGCTGTCGACAGCGTGCTGCCTGCTTACATGGCTGGCATGTGCTTGTCCTGCTTTACCAAGTTTTACTCTCACGCCAGGCGATCAAAACCAAACACCATTGTACTCTCAAAACTCAAGTGATGCACTCTCAACAGCAGTAGCAACTACGAACCCCACGACCACTCTCTTTTATGAGATGGGGACAAGATGCGGCAACAGAAGCACCAGCAACAACAAAACACATTGGACACCTGGCCGTTAGTGTCATCATGAAGCTGATAGACTCGTGCAAGATACCTGATGACCACCTCAAGAACGAACTTCGCGTGCATCTCATCCCATTGAAGAGAAGCGGGCTGTTCCCCTGGCGATGATGACAAAGAGTCCTCCTCCTCCTCTTCTACACGATCACCATCATCACCATCATCGAATGAGGAAGCGACCATATCCGCGGCCGTTGCGGCCATCACCATCTACGAAAAAAGCCCTGGACGATCTAAGCGCAAGGCCACCAGCGAATCCATCGTACGACCTCACGAACAAAGCACTGGGATGTCTGTTGCAGCCTCATCAGGAGACGACTCTTTGCGCTCACAGACGGCAAAGACAGAACAACATGACGACAGCAACAATGGCATAGACGACAGCAAGTCTAGTGGAAGCAGCCACCGAAGGAGAAGGGTGAGGAGGATGAGCATCAGGAAAGCAACACCGCTGTGAGTGACTGTTGACACGAACAGCGCCGTCACCCATTATTGATAGCAATTAAACAAATTCGATCTAGAGCACAGCACCATGTTGTTGTTGTTGTTGTTGTTGTATATATATATATATACATATATTGCGACCGCTTTTACCAAGTCAACAGAAAATAGTATTTATGTGGTGCCCGCTCCAAATCCTTGATCACAATCCAATGGCGAGGCCCACAGATGCGATGCTGACCGATTGCCTGTTGCGGTGCGTGTTTTAGACGAAGGCTATCTCGCCGGTTGCGTGGCCGTCTGCGGGTTCTCGGTCGGCGATGGCGGGTGCGCGATGAGCATGCGATTCGGCGCCCACGATCGGGCCATGGAGTCGGTCTCGCGCATTCTGGATTTGGTCGCCGGAGAACAGACGACGCCGCGCTGGGTGGTGAGCGGTGTCAGAGGCAGAGCTCGAATGATTGACTCGGATGATACGCTGTCCCTTATCATGAAGCGGTGGGGTGTCGGACCCCCAAAGGACCAACGCCAACGTCGCGCGTATGCACCGACCCTGTCGTCCGAGATCATGCGCATCGGATTCGTCGCCGCGACTCTCGATCTGGCGTCCATGCGCGATGAACACGGAGGCCTGCATATTGCATCACCCCAAGGATCGATGGTGCACAGGATCCTGCTTGGATTTGGCATCATGTCACGGCTCTCACTCAATGTCATACACCTCACCGCCCGGTGGACCAAGAGACTGGACAACCTGTTGAACTCTGTGGCAACATAAAACCCGCTCCACGTTCTTTGTCGCGTACACGTCATGGAAGACGAACTTGCTCACAACCAAGGGCTGATATCGACGATGCTTGACATCATCCGTCACGACAGGGACCCATCCACGTCGGCATGTTGGTGCCGCCACAGGAAATGCCAGATTCTGTCGGATTCGCATGAGTGTAGATCGAGCGCTGTGACAACGGATGGTTCATGTTTCGCACGACGCAGGATGACGATCCCGACCGAGCGGCATTGTTGCGTGGTCGAACGGATGCTGGATCGCGTCACCGCATCAGATCAGGGAGCGTCAGTTGGCGACACCACACAACCCGCCCGCGAGCGCACCGCTGCCGGCCAACGTGGCATCCCATCCTGCCGCGGCGATGCTTGCAATCAGGATCCGAAGCCAGCCGGATTGTTGCAGATCGGGCGACAAGGGGGCCATCAAGGCATGGCGCGGAAGAACCGACGGAAAGTCAAGAAATAAATTGGCCTTTTTATCTCCCTTTGGGTTCTCCTTGTGTTCTTCTTCCTTATGGTAGAAGCAGAATTGCAGGACCTGTTTCTAATTGGCTCCCGATTTTTTGGCGACTATCATTGCGGTCCTAAATGCAGAAGGGGGTTCCCACGTCATTCTTGCCGCGAGTGGCTGCTTCTGCTTGCTCAGTAAGCGCTTCTGTAGGGGCGCGTTGGTCTCTGTGGCGCCATAGAGACCAACTCAGCGAGTGAGCAGGGCAAAGTGCCACAACAACCACTTTTCTTGCAAGAAGCGCAAGAATCAATGAGACCTTTTGTCGTGGTGGTTTTGGTGGGGCTGATGGCCCTCGCGGTATCGGCCCAGAACGACTGCAAGGGCCAGGTGGGCGCCTACTCCTACGACCTCAACCCGCTCGCCCGAAGGCTGGGCACGACGCTCCTGCGAACGGACTACAACGGGGGGGCGTTTATGTACTCAGTGTGCCACGACCCGGCCATTGTAACCCTGTGGGACCCAGTCATCGTCAGTTGGCTCAGGGCCAACGCTAGCATCAAGCCCCTGGCGAGCGGGAACGATGCCGAGGGCTTTACGCTCTACATCCCCAATGGGCAAGATGCCAACCAAATCGTTTTGAATCCCCTCGTGCTGACGATCTTGTTCATATGGTACCTGGCCTACCCTTTCTATCAGCAGCGCTTCAGAGATGGGTAAGATTGATATGCTGTCAATGGTGGGCAGCGACTGGGCCATGGAGGAAGGTGAGTTCTCATTTGTCAGCCAGACTGGAGTAATCACCGACACCAACAACTCAGTCACCTTCAACTTGCAGTACGTGTCCAAGTACGCATGCCCAATTGCCGGACCCTCGCCCTCGCCGAGTCCCTCGCCGAGCCCCCCGCCAACCCCCTCGGCGAGCCTCTCGCCGCACAGGGGGAACTCGTGTTGCCTCTACCGGTTCAAATACCACCCTAGCGAGACCAAGACCCTGTGCGCTGTCGAGTGTCCCCCGTTCTTCGGTGGCTACCGGCTGGTCTCCAACTGGACCTCATCGCCCTGCACCAGCGACACCTGTTTCTTCCACAAGAGGAAGTGAGGACCACAAGCCAGAGGTAACCAAGGCAGACAGATCACGAAAGCCTTTAGGGGATGTTGTACTTGTGTGCTGCAAACATGAGCATGCAGTTCCTTGGGCACTTCCAAACAACTTGACCTCAGTTGATTGGTTCGGTGTCTCTCGAGAAGGTCTGCCACCCCTTTTGCCAATGGAGGTCGATGTTTGATTTGAGAACTGGGGTCTGTTTATTGCCGATTTTGAGTCGCGCAAAAGGCCTCTTCCGTGCGCGTTGCCGCTCTCTGAACAGTACTGCTTTCTATCCAACAACCTTGGCGCTCTCCGCTTAGTTGGCATACTGTGTAGGAAAAAAAGAGAGAACAAGGTGAGTATACGACATTGGATTGCAGCGGATAGTTGGGGAGACATACCAGCTTGCCTGCACGAGCACGGTAGGGAAAAGAAGGAAGAATGTCAGTAATTGAAATAAGCACAACACCAAGAGGAGAGGCGCCGTACCCATCATGCCACTCACAACGCGATGGACATTGTGGTTGGGCGCGTAGACGCGGATCTGGCCGTTGAACGGGGTGGCGTGGGCGGCCGACTTGGCGTTGTAGGCGTTGGGGAAGATGAGGCGGAGGGTGACGTTGTCGATCCTCGAGAAGTTGCACGAGCCCGAGGGCGCCGGGGCCGGTGTAGGGCGTGGGCGTGATGGCCGAGTCGCGCTGGACGACCCAGAGGAGCTCCTTGACGGGGTGGTTGAAGTTGAGGCGCACGTGCTGCGAGCTCACGCCGGCGGTGTGCGACTCGGAGCTCGAGTGCTGCACCTCGTCGACGAGGTACTCGTGCATCTGCTGGGCGAACATGCGCCTCTCCATGGCGTCGAGGAACACGTAGTTGAGCAGCAGGGTCATCTCGCACATGTCGCCGGGCTGGGCGAGCGTGGCGGGGTTGTTGGCCTCGCCGGAGCGCACGATGAGCTCCTCGGCGCGGCGCGTGCGCACGTTGATCTTGACGTCGTGATACTGGAGCGCGATGAGCGGCAGGGCGTGCTCGGTGTGCCTGTTCCAGTCAAACTGCAGGGGCACGTAGATGTGCTGGGTGCGCTTACCGTAGTCAATGAGCTGCTCGCGGGTGTCGGCCTGACCGACCTGGTCGCCGAGCTTCTTCTCCTGCGTGGAGCTCACCTGCTCGAGCATCTCGAGGTACTCGCCCGAGTGCTCGTCGAACGGGTGGCCACCCACCTCGTAGTTGACGCAGTCGATGGCGGCGTGACCTACATAGTTGGTGTAGTAAGCCACGTTGTTGGCGAAGCCATCACTCACCATTGACGGGTGGTACTCGATGGGCTTGAGCTGGAAATAGAAGTACGCGCGCGACACCAGGTCACCAGAGCGGTTGACCAGCGCGGTCATCTTGCGGCCGCAGCCGGTGGCGCCGTTGAAGCCGTTGTCGATTTCGGCGACGGCAAAGTGCGAGTGGCGCCTCACAGATCCCTTCCAGAAGGTGATCTGCGGGTCAATGGTGAGATACTTGTTCTGAGGGCCTTGGGCCGACAGCTGGGTTAGGGCACCGGAGACCGGCATGCTGATTGTTCAAGGGTGGAGATGATGGACCGGATGGGAGATGAATAAGCGCGGGGATGACGCGGTGTCGATGGGTCGCGGGATGACAACGAGGTACGTCGCTCGCGTTCGTCTGCCAGCCCGCGAGGCATAAAGCGAGTGCTATCAGCGACGCGCCCATCGTGCACACTGTAAAAGGCGGGCGATGGCGCGGTCCCCAATTCTGTCGCGCGGCCGCGCGAGCCGGACAATTGCAAACTATGAGCGAGAGCAGCACGCCGACGACGACCAACGCCCTGGTGGAGCAGCAGGGAGAGCGCCGCTCCAAGCGCCGCCACCGTGCCACGGTCAAGCGCGCCGTCGGGTCCAACGAGTCGCCGGCCATCTGGGCCGCGCGCCACCAGGACGGCCGGGCCTTCGACGGCGACCGGGTCGAGTTCGGGTTCAACCTCTTTCACAGCGAGGCCGACGCCACCAGGCTGACGGCCACCCGCGCCGCCACGGCCGTGCGCTCGTTCGCCACCCTGCCCAACGCCATCGCTTGGGCCAAGAACCGCAAGTCCATCGTCGACAAGACCGAAGCCGCCATCGTGGGCGACACGTGGGTCAGCCCGGCGTTCCCCGACATCGACGGCGAGGATGACACGGACGTCTTCCTCACCATCGAGGTGCAGGCCGCCCGCTCGCACGGCCAGTCGGGCAACGAGATCGTGGGCTACGACGCGTGGTTCGACGGCAAGCGCGAGCTCTCCAACATGTCGGCGCTGCCCAATGCCAACGTGAGCCGGGCCGTCATCGAGGGGTGCATGAAGGCCATTGAACACGCGAGGAACCCGGAGACGGGTTCAGCGATGCCACCGCCATCCTGCTGAGCTCTCCCAGCGTCATCCCCTACCTCGCTCTGTCGGACGCTCGCAAGGGCATGCCGGCGTCGTGCAAGAACCTGGCCAAGTCGTTCCGTCGCACGTGCCAGGGACTGCCCCACTGCCGGGACAGTAGACGGGAAAGTGATGATTTTGCGCGCCTTGACGCTCAATTCCGCCCTTTTCCCACCTTTTCGGGTGACCCCGAGCTGGACCAGCTCACCTTGATGGACAAAAGATGGAACGTTCCATCTTCAAGTCCGCCTTGGGGGCACCTTGGTGGACGGAAGACGAAATGTTCCATCTTCATGTCCACCTTGAGTGCACCTCGAGGTGGACACGACGCAGATCCGCTCTGCAAGGTGGTTGACCACCTCAAGTCTGTTGGAAAGGTGTAGTGTGATATAAGGCTGAGAATAAGAAGAAAGAAAAGAGTAAGGATCGAGAAAGTGTAGAGAAAAGATGGAGACGGTGAATGTCCAACAAAGTCCGCAGGAGAGGTGGAAAAAACGTGATCTTTTGAGCTGCGGTGTCAAGGAGTTGGGAGGTGCCGAGACTTGAAGTGAGTGCGGGCGGCGCAGCTTGGGTTGTGGCATGCGACGGGCGGGCAGGGGCAGCGCAGGGCCACTGGCGGTCTGTGCTGTGCTGTTCTCCAGCAGCACCACCACCACCGGTGTTGATTGTCTGTCACACAGCACACACGATCGCACAACACGCACACAAACTGAGAAAAAGCGGCAGTAAGGAACGGGGTGGATATAGATTAGGGTCTAGGGTTTGGGTTAGGAGTAGTTTGGAGGTGATCTGTCAAGTGGGTGCTCCAATTTCGCCTCTGCTTTGGTTTGGCTGGTGCCTGATTTTTCAGCTGCCATCTGCAATTTCACTCTCCCATGTCCAATGTTTAATACCCCTATGCTGTTGTAGTGCTATGCAGGGTGTTGAGCACCATGTTGTAGATGTGGTTGTACTCCAGCACATCCCCCTACATAGAAACAAATAAGGCACTACTGGGGAGGTCACCACCTACACCTGGGTGTGTGGTGTGGAGGGGTGGTGTGTGTGGCTGTTGTGTGGCCATGCCATTGCAGGGCTAAGTCAGTACCCAGCCCTTGGTGAAGTTGAGGAGGTGGAGGTGGGACACCAGGTGGAAGATCTGTGTGTGTAAGGTGAGCAGTCCCATGGTGCATTGGCCCACCAGCATCCTTGTCCATACAGGTGGCTCTGCTTCTGCACACACATCACACACAACACACAACACACACACACAAGACACACACATCAGTTCATCCAGTGCCAGCCAGGCATTGCAAGATTACACAGTTGGCAGAACCATACAGTGAGTGCACACTTGAGCTGGTTGAGGATGGCATCTGGTCAGTGGAGATGAACTTGGTCTGGCTTGCCAGTTGGCAAGCTCTAGTGCATGTGTGTGTGAGTGGTGTGTGCAATCATGCATAAAAGGGTGATGCAAAAAAGCAAGTCATGGCAGTGTGGCAAAAAGAGTGTGTGTACCACTTGTTGGAGAGTTGCTTTGCACTGAAGAAGACCTGACAGGTTGAGAGTGCCCATCATCCCAAAAAAATCAAAACTGTTCACTCTGAGTAAATTACTATACCAAACACAACTCAATCATTAGAGCAGGGCCACCATCATGCCACATGAGCACTGCCCCAAGCTCATCATTTGGCCAAGAGTTGGTAGGTAAGCAGCAAGCAAGCTGGTGATCCACTTGTGGTCAGGTGCACTTGAGGGCCAGCAGTGCAAGTGTATTTTTCTTCTCCTTCCACTTGCTCATCCACTGCACTTGTGGTGTCTTTGCCTGCGCAGCAGGAACGCTTGGCGCATTTGGTTTGCATTTTTTTATTCAGTTTCAGTGTCCGGAAAAAACAGGGCAACCATCCTCAAAAATTTCTGAGGATGGTTGCCCTGTTTTTTCTGGCATGTGCCTTTTGGACTTAGTGCCAAATCTGCGCTGCTCCGCCCAATTTGCCTCGCCCCCCTGACATGGTAGCCATCATGTGAATTCTGGTGCATATGCTCCTCCCTTTTACCCACCTGCTGCAACCGTTTAGTTTCACAGGACTAAGAGGTACTCACCCATTTTCTCTTCTCCATGCAGCCTAATCAATTGGTTCCTTTGTTTTGCTCAGCCTCATGCAAATTCCATTCAATTGCCTGGTAGGAGATGCACACTGTGGTTCACAGCATCATGGATCACTGGATTTGCTGTTTGAATCATGCATTAAGGACTTGCATCAGACCAAATCAAATTCCTGATCGGTCCCAACAAGCGCATCCACGCCATCAGGGGCAGGATCCACATTGCCACTGGTGGCTATCTGGAGCATGACTCCATGGGATGGTGGATCATCAAACCAAAGACACCACAGGTGGAGGTGGTAGACATGGACCCCACCAAACATAAAGATCTGGATCAGCTCTCTCTAACAAATGCATGGACACCTACAGGACATGGGCTGTCACAGGATGCAAACCATTTTGGAACAGCAGCGCCTGGTGCCTGGATGGTGTGCTGCTGTTCCTCAACAAAAATAAACAATGGATCTCACAGGCATGCACTCATCACAGTGGAGACCATTCCACAGCGCGGTGGTGGCGCTCCATGGCCCTAACCTGCACTGCATTGGGCAGGAGTTCACACCTGGAACACACATCTTCATCAGTATGGACTATTACCACAACAAGAACCAGCGCATCACAATCAACATCAGGATACTTGTGGTTGATCCAAAAGGAATGGGGGTGGTGGTGGTAGTGGTAGTGGTGGTGGTAGTGGTGGGTGGTACCCATGATGGTGGGGGAGGTTGAGCACTGAACAGAATGTGAGGTGTGTCTTGTTTGGCAAATGGTGGAGTTGCTGATTTTTGCCAAGGGGGGGGTTCTGTGGAGGTGCACACACACACACACACCACCACCAGAGAGCAAACAAGAAATAGACCCCTTTTCGTTCAGTTTTCCCCTACATCTCTGCAGCATTGGCCTGCAAGAGTGGTTGTTCTTGCAAAAAGTGGTTGTTTTTGCAAAAGTGGCTGTTTTTGCAAACAAACAGCTGCTGGCTGGCTCTCATAGTTCACATTCTTGCCTGTGTATCTCTCTTCCTTGTTGCCTCAAGCTCCTCATCACCCCTACCCGTGG